TATATTTAAAATTTGTATAAATACATAAATTATATTTTCATATTTATAATAATTAATTTATATTATAATATAATATTATTTTTATTTATTGATAATTTATTTTAAAAATATTAAAATATAATTTATAAGTAATAAGATAAATAAAAATTGAACTAGATAAAAATTTATAAAAATTTTCTAATGAGAGAAAAGTCTTTAAAAATATTTTAGAGGTTTATGTTTAATATATAAAGAAAATTCTACAAACCATCTCGTTAAAAAAAAGTTTCTAAAAATATTTTTACATAAGACAAAAGTTTATATATATATAGAAAGTAATTAACAAAAGATGAAAAAAAAAATCTCAACAACTCAAATTTTTTTAACGATGTACTTAATCCATATGAAATAAGTGAATATGAAGGAGATGAAAATCAATACATGATCCTATAAGATGCATGAATATTCTATCCCATAAGCACTTATTCAGAAGAAAAATAAATAAATAACACAAGCACTTTATTTATTTTTATATAGCCTATAGCCATTGTCCAGTTATAGAATGCTGAAAGTAGTGAAGGATAAAAGAGAAATAGTTTAAAACATGGATTATTTAGGCAAATAGATTTTAAGGCTTGCGAGTAATGGCAATCAAGCAGAGATCATTTTTTCTTGTTGAAGTAATTCCATGTGAGTCAGTCATGTCAAGTTCTTCATTTTTTATGATGTTAGGAAGCTTCCAATCAAAATGGTAAAGCAATTGAGCAAGTGGCAACTCTATGTTGGGTATGGCAAATGAAATGCCTGGACATATTCTCCTTCCAGCACCAAATGGGATAAATTCAAAGTCTGAGCCCTTGAAATCAATGGAGTTATTAAGAAACCTTTCAGGTTTAAAACTCTCAGCTTCAGGCCAATACTTAGGATCCCTTCCAATTGCCCAAGCATTGATAATGACCCTGGTCTTAGCTGGTATCTCATATCCATTGATTTGGCACCTCTCTCTACCTTCTCTAGGAATCAACAATGGCACAGGTGGGTGTAATCTCATGGTTTCTTTGATGATACACTTTAAGTATGTCAATTGGTGCAATTCTGTCTCATCCACATATCCCCTGCTATCAAACACCCTTCTCACCTCAGCTTGTGCTTCTTCCATCACTCTTGGGTTTCTTATCAATTCTGACATCCCCCATTCCACAACAGAAGATGATGTTTCGCCTCCACCAATGAATATGTCCTGCAAATTAATGGATTAATATTGTTTATCTAGAGTGCTATACAATTTCTTCCACATAATCTAGTCATAATAAATTATTTGATATTCTATACAAAGTCACAAATCACCATTAAAAAGCAATAATCTTTCCCAATTTGTTTTCCTAGTAGTAGTAGGTGTAAAGTTAAAGTTAGTGGTTCCCGCCAAGTGGACTTAATCTTGAAGTAAGTAAATTTTTTCTTTATTAAAAATGAAGATAATTTTACGACAAAATAAAAAATAATTAAACAATAAAATAAAATATAAAAAAATATATTAATGTATTTATTATATTAGATATAACAAGATAATTAAAATATAATTAATAATATATATTTTATAAAATTATTAATATTTTAAATATAAAAAAAGAATGAAAACAATTTTAGTGGGGGCAAGTGCCCCCATTATGATTAACTTAGATCCGTCCCTGCATGTGGTTGTGTGGTGAAATGTTAATCTTGTGTATCCTCTTCCTTTACTTCAGGTTCTACCTCTTCAAGAACAGGTTGTTGTTATTGGGGTATATCGTTATTAACTTCAAGAAAAAATACCATGTCGTTTCATCCTTTTCTGTATAGTGTCAATTTGGTAGTAAGTGGTTCACTCTAGTTTGACTAACAATGAAATAAAATTTGTTACATTGTCTTTAGTGATACACTGCATTGTTCTTAATGATACACTGTATAGTCCAACTATTTAGCAATTGAAGTTATCAATTTTCATTGACAATATTATACCAAATCCAGTGTTTGAAATGTTTTGTACCTTGGGTCTTTTTCCTTCGACGATTCACAACCGTGAACTATAATCATTGACAGTTTGTGTTTAACAGTCTGGAACCAGAACGGCCCGTTCTGGTTGCACTTTTAGTGTGTTAATTTTGCACCTGGAACGGGCCGTTCCGGATGCAAAATTAACACACCAAAAGTGCACCCAGAACGGCCTGTTCTGGTTTCAGAACGGGCCGTTCTGGTTCCAGGTGTTTTTAAAAAATTGGCATCCACTTATGCATCTACGTGGCATCCACGTGCATGTTACGTGGCCTACAGTTAACTCCGTTTAAATAATTTAGACGGAGGTCCCACATTGAAACTAATTAATTTATTAGGGACCAAATTGAGACAAAAAATAAAACTGTGACTAAATTGAAATAAACAATTATTATAAGGGATTAAAATAGATTTTTAGCCTAAAAAAAATAACTCTTATAAAATATCTCCTCAGACAAAAAAAATATCTCCTCAAACAAATAGTGACATGTGACTAGCGTGATGTGTAATGAAAGAAAGAGAAAAATTAAGCTTATCACTGTTTATTTGGTGGCGAATGGCCTTGTGGGTGGTGGTGGGTGAATGTCATTTAATTTCCTCTTCTTTTTATGATGGCTAAAATTTTAGTCGTAACTAATGCATAAATTACTAGTTTGATATAGAGAACTTGTTATTTTTGTTTTCACTTTTGGATCCGAAAAAAAGACCAGTTTCTTAATATAGATGTTGAATTTATAGTAGTACTAACCTGGATAACTGCTTTAATGTTTTCATCGGTCAAGGAAAATTCCGATTCATTTTCCCGTTGAAACTTGAGAAGAACATCGACTAGATCTTCCAGTGCTTCAACACCCTCTCTATTCCTGTGTTCCTGGATGATGTCTTGCAAGAGCCTATCAATCTCTCCATGCACCTTTTCAATTTTGCCCTTGGCCATCAGCTGAAGCACTCGGCTAGAAGGATACAGATCAGCCAAAGAAAACCCTCCTAGAAGCTTCAACTGTTCCTTAATCTTCGCCACGAACACTTGCTGGTATCGGCTCTTCTTACCAAAAGCCGCACGTGCCGCTATGCCGAAAGTCATGAGGTAAATGTGGTGAGAGAGGTTGAAAACGGAGCCTTCACTTGCCCTTATTTTTTCAACCAGCTCCGACACCTCTCCTTCTCGTATGGACCGAAAAGATTGCACGCGCTTTGTTGTGAGTAGCTCTACGGTGCATATCTTTCGGAGTTGCCTCCAGTAGTCTCCGAGTTGAGAGAAGGCAATGTCAGCGCCGTTGTAAGAAACTATTCTGGATGATAATAGGTTTGGTCTGTCGGAGAAGTTGAGGCCGTGTGTTTTCATAATCTGCTGGGCTGTTTCTGGTGAAGTGACTATGATGTTGGATACCTCTCCTAGTTTTAGATGCATCAGTGGACCATATTTGTCTGCCAATTTTTTTAAGCATACTTGAGGAAGTGACCCAAGTAACTGGTGTATGTTCCCTATGAGAGGAAGTGGCCTTGGTCCTGGGGGTAAATTCTTGTTGGAGCCTGATCGTTGAACTAATTTCAAGAACACCAAGAGAAAAAAGAGAATGGAGGTGATGAAGTACATGGAGAAAGTGTTGTGGTTTTGATTTTGAAGCTCCTCCATGACGTCCTAGGACTAGGAGAAACCGTGAAAACAAAAATAATGTATACACAGATGACAGATGAAGGCACCTAGCTACTACATTTAAGGACTTACGTGTATATATGGTAATGGAAGGATAATGTAACTGAACTTGCGGTTTTGGAGACTTGGAGTCTTCCAGAAAGGAAAGGACAACGATGACCACTCCATGGGCGCATGATGTACCAAATAATAGCTTTTAACTTTTAGCGAGAAACAGGCAACACGATTTCAATACCTGGGCCCCGGTAATCACACTGTTTGGCTATGCTGAACCAAAAAGTCATTATCAACACATTTTACCGTTTAAAATTTACGAAAATATAACATAATGTTGTCTGTTTTTGAAATGATATTATTTTTTAATTTTGAAAATTATAAGATGATAATATGATATAATGTTTAAATATTATTTTTTTTAACAAAATATAATGTTTGTTTATGAAATAATATTATTTTCTTATTTTAAGAGTAAATTTTGATAGGTTTATTATATTCAATAATTTATATTTTATATTAAATTTTAATTATTTAATTATTTAATTAAATTTTTTAATATATATATTAAGTTTGTAAATTTTTTAAAAAATTGAAAATCATATAATATTTCGTTATATAAATTCGAATCAACATGTAAAATATTTTTTTGACTATCCGTTAATTTGAATAAATGAAATGAAGTATCAAATAATTTTTATTAAATTTTTAAATTTTAAAAAATTTATAGACTTAACTTATGTATTAATAAATTTTTATTTAATAATTAATTTGATCGTTAAAATTTGATGTAAAATATAAATTATTAAGTGAAATAAATTTTTAGATAAAGTGTATATATATATATACGGAAAAATCTATTTAGTTTAAAAATAAGTTTATCAAAATTTATTTCACTTAATAATTATGTTTTTGGACCGTCCCGGTCGGGATCCGACTGGTGAACGTAGTCCGACCTGACCTCACCGCATACGACAGATCGATTAGAACCCAGACCGACTCCCTCTTTTAGAGGCATTTGGCCTACGTCCGACTGGCACTCTCCACAGGAGCCTGGCCGGTCATATACCGATCCCGCCCGCCTAACAACCTATTCGGTCAATAACCGACTAGGCCCCCCGAATGGCTCTAGTCGGTCGAGAACCGATCCGGTCTCCCTACATAGATACCATCCCATGGCAAGGGTACGGCCCCACCTTTGTTCATCAAGTGTCTTACGAATAAGAACGGTTAAGGAAATTCCTACATTCTCGGGGCCCACGAGGCCCACGAACAAGAAACTATAAAACTTAAAACCCTAAAGTTGAGAAGGCAGATTACACTTTTGAATGCTCTGGCTTTGAGACTTGATCTAGTAAGAAACCCTAATCCACCCCTTGGCCGGAACAGTTTTATATTAAATTTTAATAATTTAATTATTAAATAATTTTTTTAATATATAAATCAAGTTTATAAAATTTTTAAAATTTTAAAATTATTTAATACTCAATTTTATTAATTTTAATCAATAAATAAAATATTTTATGATTATTTTTTAATTTGAATTGATAATATAGAATCAAATAACTTTTAAATTTTAAAAAATTATATAAATTTAATTTAAAATCTTTTAATTTTAACAGTTGAATAATTAAAATTTAATATAGATCATAAAATAAATCTAAATAAACTTTTTTTTAAGTAAGTAAATTCCTCCCTTCTATATATACATATATATATTTCCTTTGAAAAACACTATTTAAAACTCAACCTTACATATGTAGCTATAGATTTGTCGTTACTCATTTCCACGGTATATATGGTCCATATGGGACCCGATCACGGCATGACTTGATTTTGGAAGTTTTCTGTTTCAAAGGGAAGATAATAATTTGGATAAGGGAAATACAAACAAATGTATTATGATATGAGTTAATTACTTATATACTCTCAGTATAAATTTTTTTTATTCTATATCTCTTAATTGTGTCATATCACTGTTAAAAATAAATGTGTTTAAAGTGATATGATACAATTAAGAGATATAATTAATTTTCAGTGAAAAAATTTTACACTGACAGTATATAAGTGATTAACTCTTATAGCATTGTAATTAAATAATAAAAAATTTAATTAGAAATATTATTGATATATTCTTATCATAATTTTCAACATAATTAATATTCACAAGATATACTAAGTTTTTCCTTTATCTATTGCTTAAAAATACATCACATAAATTAATAAAAATTGATTAATTTCTTAGTTTTTATTAATTTTACTTATAATTTCTTAGTATGTCATTTGTTTTTCAATTTTTATTATTTTGACATTTCATTCAATATTGCCAGTTTTCCTCTTTTTTAATAAGGATGTAATTTCCGTAAAAATGATATAATTTAAATAACAGTAATTAATGTCATCTTAAAATTTTAAAACTACACATAACTAAAAATAGAAACATTCTTTAGAAGTGATATATCAAAAAAATGAAAGTAATGATGCATTAAATTGATAACTTAAATTATTTTTAACATTTTAATTTTATCCGAATCTTTATTTATTTTCCATTTTCTTTATTTAATTAAATATAAAGGAAAAAGAAGTGAAAATTGAATCTGGTCCACATCCTTTTGGAGAAAAGGAAAGAAGAAAAAAAACATGCATGACGATTTTCTCAAACTTTCACTTTTTTGATGTTACGAAGGGTGATAAAAGCCCAATAAAACAAGCCCAGACGAAATGTCAATCCACCAACGTGCACAGAGTATGTTTGTATCAAAATTTAAATAGAGTAATTTATTTATTTAAAAATTTTAAAATTTTAAAAGTGAAATATTTTATTTGGATAAAATTTATAAAAGAATTATAAATTTAAGTATTTTTGAAATTAATTTTAAATTCTTTAAAAAGAAAAAGTAAGATTTTGATTTTTTTAATTTTATTTATATTTTTATCTTATTTGTTCATATTTTTAATTACTAAATATTTAAAAATAATTTTTAAAATTTTAAATATTATATAATATTTTTAAAATAATCAAATATTTAAAATTTGGTTAATATTTATTTTTATTAAATTAAATTTAAAAATTTTAACATATGAATATATTTTTAAAATCAATTTTATCATGATAGAATCAAATTACCATATCCAAATTAAAATTTAAAAATTTAAAAATTTTGAATTGACTTAATTAAATAAAATATTTTTAAAATAATAAAAATTAAAATCAAAATAATTCCAATACAAAAATTTTAAATTCTTTAAAATTCTAAAAGTTCTCATTCGAACACATAATTAGTGATTATTATTAGTAGACATATGTTTAGCCAACCTTAATTAAATTTTGTGCCTCCTTTGAATCAATAGTCAAATTGATATAGTCAATATTTTTCTCAATTTTAAATAACTTATATGTAATGTTTCTTTAAAGTAAAAAGAAATGAGATATCTTTTTATAACCTAATATTTTGGTACTTACATTGTGTGATCATGTAACGACCCGACAGGTCACTACACACACTACTGTACACCGGAAACACCAGGCAGAAAGAACGAGTATATAATTATAGGATATAGAATATAAATATATACAAAGTCTCAATCCGACTAGAGTTAGAGTGTGCAAAAACAACAAAATACATCATAAAATGCTACACCAAGTAGCTGAATCAACAAAACATCTACAAAGGTCAACACCGCCTGCCAGCTGCAGACTCACCACTAGCCACCCATCCTATCCCTGCTCTGCTCCCGTACATAATACGATCATAGCAGTCCAACCACATGAAAACAACAAAGGGTAAGCTAGTATATAAAAATTAATCAACGGGCAACAAAATTTAAGTAATATAAACAACTACAACTATCAACACATCATCAGTCAACATTTTATCGATTGTACAACACACCAGCACTTTGGCAATTAATGCGTCGTCACGCATATCAACTCGAAGATCTCCTACAGCAACTCAGCCATTATGACCTACAACAACTCAGCCATTATGGCCTACAACAATCAACATTCAACACAACACAACTTTTACAACTCAACATATAAACTTGCAACACAACACAACTGTACAACTCAACATCAACTTGCAACACAACACAACTATACAACTCAACATCAACTTGCAACACAACACAACTATACAACTCAACATATCAACTTGCAACACAACACAACTATACAACTCAACATCAACTTGCAACACAACACAACTATACAACTCAACATCAACTTGCAACATCATCTACTAGTCATCACGTTATATTCATCCATTTCAACTCAACTCAGCATAAAACAACATAAATCAGTACATAATAATTTCTCATCTCCGCGCCCGGCGCACTCGTAGTTGCGCCCAGCGCAGTGCAACCCGAGAGCACCAAGGGGCCAGCGCGCCCAGTGCAGGCATGCCTGCGCCCGGCAGAACTCAGCCAGAGAGCCCAAGGCTCACCCACACCTAGCGTAATACCAATTGCGCCCAGCGCCTGCCAGACAAAGACTCCAAGGAGTCTCACGCGCCTGGCGTTCCCAAACCCGCGCCCAGCGCGGGGAAGGCAGAGGCCTCCCCTTGGTCTCGCGCCCAACGCAATTCAAATTGCGCCCAGCGCCCACAAGGCAGAGACTCCCAAGGAGCCTCACGCCCAGCAGGACAAGGGCCGCGCTCAGCGCAGCACAACAATATCAGCATCCAGCACAGCTAGGTAGTATACAACACAGCTTACTACTCACAACTCAGCTCAACAATCTATAGTACAATAATTTTTTAATTCAACATGAAAATTATTCATGACAGCCCAGCTCAGCACAACAATATATATCTATTACAGCGTAGCATTACATCATTAGCAGCATATACAACATACAACATATTCTACACATAATACGACTCATCCACCTTGTTTACAACTCATCTATCTTGTCAAATTACCCACCCAAACAACACCAATCAACCCAAGCACCTAAAACAACTTCGACTTAACCAAATCACTAAATGTGAAATGGCAACCTTCATAGGAAACAACGCATCAGGAGTTATACTACTCCTACCATACTCATCCTTATCTCATATGAAAGATAAGAGGATTTCCTACAACTCTCATGAAGATACCAAGTCCTAATTCCTTCATCTACCATGTTAAAAATGATAAAAACCGCAACAGCTATAAACAAAGCTAGCAACTCGACCCATCTTCACTAAAACAGCCATATCTAGAGTTATATAACTCCTTTTTGAGTGATTCCAGCGTCATTGGAAAGCTAACATCTAAGACTACAACTTTCATGAAGGCTATAAAGTCAAATTATGAAAATTAAATTCACGCCCGGCGCGTTAAAATCGAGCTCAGCGCAATTCTCAACCAGAGACCTACAGAGGTCTATTGCGCCCGGCGTGGTTCTCCCCATGCCCGGCGATTCACCTAGGGATTTCCCATTTCAACTCACGCCCAGCGCGAAGAACTGCGCCCGACGCAAATTCAAACAGGAACCTTCACCTACTTCGAAAATTTCATCAAAACCTACGAAAAACACCAGGAAACCAACATGCAAACCAAGCAAAAGCCAGCATTTTCATCAAGCATTAAGAAAAACACTTCATTTCTGACATGCAACCATCAAACAAGTGAAATCCCCAAGATTTGCACCCAAACCCCGGAAACCCGAAAACGAAAATTTCCTTCAATCATAGCCAAGAATCAATCTCTTCAACAACTATTGAGTTACTTGAACTTAGTGGCATCCAAAAACAGCGAAGAAACTAGCTTCCCTTACCTCGGTGAAGAAATCCGAGCTCCGGGAAGAGGAAGGAGAAGAAAAGAGGATCTGCACACGACTTGCTTCGAACAGCTTCAAGTGGGAGAGAATGCACCTCCTTGATCACCCACAACTTCAATTTGAAGAAGAGAAAAAGAATCCCTAAAATCAGCAGGGTTAGTGAGGAGAAGAGAGGATTTGAGTGAGTAGAGAGTGAGAGTTGGAAATAGAGAGTTGAGAGGGAGAAAAAAGGGGGCAGCCACGGGTCTCACAGATCATGTCTCCTAAGTTCCCTCTCAAAAGTAATACAAAATTTAAGTAATTTATGGGTATAATACACATTAAAACAGAATACAAAGAGAACAATACAAATAAATATTAAAGTTACTAGACAACTTATTATTAAGTAATATCATACTCTCGGCACATAATTTTAATACGATTCAAGTATTTACACGATACTGTATATTTAAATTGTGCTTACAAAGTTGTACTTTTTGAATAATTTTTATTATAGAAACTTCTAAGACAATAATTGAAATTCATATTTTTTTTATTTCTATTTACATGTGTCACAAATTAAAAAAACAACTTTTAACTTGTATAAGAAAAGGAAAAAAAAATCTATCATTCTTGCAAATCTTTCCAATAAAGATTATAGTGAAACAAATGAAAAAATTAATCTGCCTGACATTAAGACAATTAGATACGAGTTTTTTCATATTCAATAATTATGATTTTTGAGAATTACAAATTCTAAAAATTACAATTCTTAAAAATAACTAAAATATATTTGGTTATTCATAAAAATTTCTGAAAAATATTTATATCAGATTTTTATGAATTAAAGATTTTTATGTTTGGTTATAATAGTATATTCTTAAGTATATAAATACTCTTTACAAAAATATATTTTATTAAAATAATTTCATTAGATAAATTTATTTCCCCAAATCTTATTATAAATATGATACTAAACTATTTAAAAAGTTGAAAACTTATAATTAAAATTATTTAAATAAAGAATTAAAAAATACCATATAATAATTAAAAAAGATAAAAATATAATTCAAATAAATAAATAAATATTAATAAATATCATTAAATTATAGAAACAAAAAAGATTTTAAGAGATAATGAAATACAAGAGAAAGAAATAGATATAGGAAAGTGAGATAGAGGAGAGAGAGAAAGAAGAGAGGAGTGAAAGGAAAAGAGAGAGAATGTGTGTGATATTTTATTTTAAAAAGAAATATTGTAATTTTTCTTATATGTACTAAGTTTTTCTCTTTAAAAAAATGAATTTATACTTTCTCATGAAAATATTTTTATAATAAAATGAGATAAAAAATAATATTTTTATAATTTTTTTAAAATGAGTATCAAATACGAGAAATTGAGATTTCTTATTTAAAATTTTAATCTTAAAGGCGAAGTAAACGTAAAGAAATTGTAATGATCTTGTGATTTGAAAAAATTTCCATGTGGGACTTGGAATTCAATCCTTTTCAATTTCATTCAATGCTGTTTTCCTTTTTTTAACTATTGCTTTCTTCTTCGAGCCCGTGTGCTGAATTTATCAATGCAACATTAATCCGTTGTTTATTCTTAATTTCAAAATTTGATTTTGGTTTGAATAATTGGATATGAGAGTGGAATCATAGTTTGATAAAGGAGGAGGTAGATCTGATGGGCACAGCAAAAGTTTCAAGAATTGGTCGGCACTAATAGGGTCCACAAGCCCATCGTAGCCACCCATGCTAACGTGGCTGCAGACCAAACACACCGTCCAAATGAACCACACAAACAATGGACGGCTCAGAACTTGGTCCTATGGTTCCGTATAGTTGAGTTTTTAATATAGTATTAATTTCACTTAAATACCAAAACTTTCCTCCCATTACCAATTTTTTACTTTATATTGTTTTTTTATATGACTTTTCATTTTTTCTAATTTAACAATTAATCAAGTCAATTAACATGATGCAAAAATTTATCAAAAATTAATGATAATACACTAACAATGTAAATCAGGTTCATAGGTTTGTGTAATGAAAATTTATAATGACAGTAAAAAAAAATATTTAAACCATTAAACTCAATTAACAATTACTTGAACTTTAATATTGAAAATTATATTTACTTATCATAAACAATAACATGATAAAAAATTTTACATTAAAAAACATATAACTAAATCTTTGACGTATACAAAATTTAAGACATTCGTTCAGGTCAAATTACATGCCCAAGCTCTATTTGCATCACAACTTACAAGTAGTGGAAGTATATAACAATACTTTATAATCATGTATGTAATAAAATATTAAATAAACATAATTTATTATTCCAAAAAAGTGCATAATTTGTTACTTGATAGTAATAAACACATTACAATTTTTTTTTATTTATAAAAGAGTGTACGTACTAATAATATTTTTAGTCATAGAATCGTGTATATGATTAGTATTATCAACTGATAAATTTTATAAAAAAAATAAAAATAATTACAATAATAATCACTATCAAAATTGAAAATTATTAGTTTTCACACTTCGATTATTTCAACTCTTTTTCTTTTAACTATTAGTCTAATCTTAGTGGACATTATCGTTGAATAATTTAACACATAAAATTGTGTATCATTATAAGTAATCTTTTAAAATTATTACATTAGGTATGATAAAGTTAAAGAAAAATATATGCATTTTTATTTAAAATATAATAGAAAGAATATTATTAATATTTTAAGGTGAATAATAATAAAAAATAAAACTAAAATAAAAATAATATATCAATTATTATTTTTAATTATCAATTGATGAAATTTTAATTTTTAACGATTTAATTTAATAATTTAAAACATTTTAGTTGAATTTTAAAATACTTAATTTTTAGTATTCCAAATAAGTCCAAGAACAATGATTCGGTGTATACAGAAAAAAGTCACGGCAGTGTTTTTATGTTCGTTGTTTGGTGTCCGGAAGAGTCCGTTTTTCTTTCCCAACATTTTCCACAATGGTCTCGCATATTTTTATTCTTTATTTTTACTCGGGATAAGTTTATTATCCCCGAACCAAACGCACCCGAAACGGCGTTGTCCAAGTCGAAACTTCATTTGCATTTGAGTTTCATTTCACTGTCATTTAGCTTTCTTCATTGAATATAAAGCTTCTTCTCTAACGTTCTTTCGCGAAACACTTCATCTGCTGCTGTTGCTGCTGCTTCTTCTGCCGTTGCTCCACCTCCGAACCACTTCTCCTGCAAACCGCGTTTCGCTCGCACAAGGTGCGTTTCGACAACCGTTTCCGCGATTTGTGTTTTCATGTGATTTTTTTTTATGAATTTTGTGTTTACATGGTGTTTTTGGTTACTGGATCCATAAACTTCTGTTGTGTCTTCTGGATCGAATTTTTCTGACTTCGTTTGCTCTTGCTGATCTGGATCTACTTCGTAGCTGCGTCTTGTGTGTGTAGGTTTCGGCTTTTGCTTAATTTTGTTGTGAGATGGTTTCTAATGCATCGGTTTTGATTTTCTGTTTGCTCTGATGCGATTTATAAGTGATCATATTTTTGGATGATACTCTTGCTTAGCGTGTTAATTATATCTGTGTCTTTTTTTTATTTATTATTTTTTATGCTATGCATGCTTCCGATCTTTTGCCTCTGTTGATGATTTTCATTGTGTTTGCATGAAAATGAAGGAATTACTTTTTTCTTTTCTTGATTGTACGGAAAATGAAATCATTGTGCGTAGTAATTGATTAATTTTGCATAATTGAGTAATAATAAGATTATGAAAATGCCTCTATAGTAGTTTAAACTTGTTATCGTTGCATATTATTCTCTTTGGTTTTTGTTTTTTTTATGTTTTCTTAAACAATGTCTTTCCCGTTCTCCGCAACAGGATTTAAAAGATGGCTGATGCCGAGGACATTCAACCTCTTGTTGTTGATAATGGAACCGGAATGGTCAAGGTTAGAATATGTTTTCCTTCTTCCAATTGTTGAGTGTTTCATGTGCTATTGAAAACGCAATTTGCGTAGTGCTTGCTTAGTATTCGTTGCTATAATATTATTATATAGTTTTTTCTGGTGTTTGCAGGCTGGTTTTGCAGGTGATGATGCTCCTAGGGCTGTGTTCCCCAGTATTATTGGGCGACCGCGCCATACTGGTGTAATGGTTGGGATGGGTCAGAAGGACGCTTACGTTGGTGATGAAGCCCAGTCAAAAAGGGGTATACTCACCTTGAAGTATCCCATAGAGCATGGCATAGTCAGCAACTGGGATGATATGGAGAAGATTTGGCATCACACGTTTTACAATGAGCTTCGTGTTGCTCCTGAAGAACACCCTGTACTTCTTACCGAGGCACCACTCAATCCCAAGGCCAACAGAGAGAAGATGACTCAAATTATGTTTGAGACTTTCAATGTGCCCGCCATGTATGTTGCAATTCAGGCTGTCTTGTCTCTGTATGCCAGTGGACGTACTACAGGTTTGTTTCTGTGGTTGATTTTGGATTAACTAATTTTGTGATCACGTGGCTTCAGTTGATTAGTTCACATCATCATGTGGCTAATGCTGTAAGTTGGCTAAGTTCTGATGATTTGATGATTATGGGGGCAATCATCAATGTTATATGTGGCACATTAGTTGGAAACTTTGGGAAGCTGATTGAAATTTTGTGTGCATTGCTTTTGTTTATACCAAGTTTAGTTGAATTATATACACCAGGTACAATTCCATATGGACAAGGGTGGGATACATGCATTTCTAAACTAATTCTTCATGACTAGCATTATTTCCTTCTTTTATTTCTTGTTATGTTGGTATTGAATTATTGGTTACATTTTAGGTATTGTGCTTGATTCCGGTGATGGTGTGAGCCACACCGTGCCCATATATGAAGGGTATGCTCTTCCTCACGCAATTCTTCGGTTGGACCTTGCTGGCCGTGATTTAACGGAGTACTTGGTGAAAATCCTTACTGAGAGAGGGTATTCCTTCAGCACCTCTGCCGAGAAGGAAATTGTCCGTGATGTGAAGGAGAAATTAGCATATGTTGCCCTTGATTTTGAACAAGAAATGGAGACTACCAAGAGTAGTTCTGCCGTGGAGAAGAGTTATGAATTGCCTGATGGCCAGGTTATTACAATAGGCTCTGAGAGATTCCGTTGCCCAGAAGTACTATTCCAGCCTTCACTAATTGGTATGGAGGCTACTGGAATTCATGAAACAACGTACAACTCCATCATGAAATGTGATGTTGATATTAGGAAGGATCTGTATGGAAACATCGTGCTTAGTGGAGGTTCTACTATGTTTCCGGGAATTGCTGATCGTATGAGCAAGGAAATTAGTGCTCTTGCACCAAGCAGCATGAAAATCAAGGTTGTTGCACCCCCTGAGAGAAAGTACAGTGTCTGGATTGGTGGTTCTATCTTGGCATCACTTAGCACCTTTCAACAGGTTTATACTGATGCTCTTCTCTAATCAACAGTTCCCCCCTCTTATGTTTAATTACCAGCATAATGGATCAGTTTATCGAAGTCTTTGGGTATTTATTTTGTTTTCTTATTTGCAGATGTGGATCTCTAAGGGTGAATATGACGAATCTGGGCCAGCCATCGTTCACCGGAAGTGCTTCTAAGTTGGGTCAAGCTTGTAGCTGGATGGTGATCAAGTTCTTCATGCACCCAGTCCTGTGCCATATTTCAGTCAAGTTTGGTTGACTTATTTGATGCTTTGGGTTTTAATAGATATATCTAGTTTAATGAATGGATTTGTAAGTTGAGTATGTTTTATGTTTCTCCGTTAGGTCCTTGGAAGCCAGACTATTTTATGCAATTGGCGGATGATATTGGAACTTTGTAGGTTCTGTTTGGCTTGATTTTCCTTTTATTCGTTTTTTCATGCTGTGGTCATGAGTTAGGTGCATCGAGTTAGGAGGACCATAAGTTTAAGCATCTTTTCTCCCAGAGGAGGGATTTTTGAGTCAGTTTCTGTTTATATTTATTATATGCTTAATTGGTTTTTATGTTTGCAGTACTCTCAGAATCTTTTTATTGTTCGAGATGATTAATCGTTTATACACCATGGGTGAAATCAATTTTTATTTGTTATACGTCCGTGACATGTACTTGAATGGGGCTTCGTTTGTTAAATGTATTTTTAGGCTTTATTCATAATTATTTTTTTAATGCTTCCGAATTAAAGAAAATTTGATCGGCAGTTAATTCACATGCAAAATTTAATTAATTTGTTGAGGCCTGACGTATTATCCGGTCGGGAATAATCCGGTCGGGTTTATTCCGGAAGTGTCGTGTTAAAAAAAATTGTACAAATTTATTGTCCCGAGAATATTGATAGAAAATATTAATGTTTTTATCATATAATTCCATTGCTTAAAGAATTAGACTTTCATGGATTATTAGCACAAATCTTAAGCCGTCAATAAGAAATTAAAGTAGTATAAAGTCATCGTACATACATTAAATAATAGTGTAGAAAATATTTACATTGTCAATGTATTATTATAATAAATGTTAAACTTTGTAAAATGGCGTATTAATAATATTATTAGTTGCTTTTTTTCTTCTTCTTTCAATTCAACTGTTTGTCGATCTAATAAAATAAATTAAGGACAAATTCAAGAAAATTTATTTAAAGCTTATTTAAATTTATCCTGTAAGGTGTAATAGTTTAGGATGTTTGAACATTATATTAGCTTACTTTAATAGCTCTTTAAGATAAATTATGAGCAGCCAACAAAAAATTATGGAAAGAGTCTAAAATTTGTATAAAAATAGCTTAATCATATTTTTCTTCGATTATGAAAATAATTTATTCATAAAGATAAATCTTTATTCAATAAACATGTAATTAAGTTATTTATTTAAAACGTATCCTAAATCCGCTTAGTAAGTTTAAAGTGATTTATAAATTAATTGATACGCATCACTTTATTTTTTTTACCGGAGATAATAACTTTACTTAAATAATATGATATTTAAATATGAATGATTTTTTTATTATTAAAGTAAACATCTAATTTTTTAATCATTTAAATTTAAATATTATAATCATTAGAATATTATAACATAATTTAACAATTTAAATGATAAAATTTAACTTTTATAAAATGATGGTACTTCCATTTTTTTTTATATGTAATGTCTAATTTGGAACAATCATTTTTCTTTATATAAAACGACCCTATCTTTTTTATATATTAATTATTTTTTACTAAAATATTTTTAATTAAAATATGTTTAATTAATTTGGTGAAATATGTTAATTAGAAACTCTTTAAAAGACAAATTTTAGTTAATTAAGAGAAAATAATATTAATTAATAAAAAAGAGTAATATAAGACATATATTTTAATTGATGGAGATATTATTATTAATTAAAAGAAAAAAAATAATTTTAGAAGAAAAAAAATACCATACGAAAATAGGATGGATAAATTTATTGTTAATACTCACTATGTCCCCTAACTACACTTTAAGCTTTTTAGACACAAATCAAAGACAATAATAAATATATCATTTTTTTAATATACTTTTACTAAAATAATGTAATCTTTTAATAAATGTATTACTTTTAATTATAGTGGTTGAATGATTTATGAATGGACAAATTAGAAAAAATAATAATGTTATATTAAAAAATAAAAAACATCATTCATTTTGAGACATTTTTAAAATATTAAAACTGTCATTATTGTGAGATAGAAAAAATTATTTTCTTAATGAATTAAGTTTTATATATAAAAATACAATATAAATTATTTTATTTTATATTTTATACTTTTAATAAGTGATGTCATATATTCGTTATTAAATGCAAGAGTTAGTTATGATATTTATTAGTATTTTATGGGTCTTAGACAAAATGATAAATATAGGTCTTTATTAGGGGTGATAAATAAATCCATTTATTCATTATCTATCTGATTCATCCACAAGTAGATCATCAAATTCATCAATTACAATAAAAATAAATAATGGATCAGATCCAATCTACCCATTTAATTTTATGGATGGTTAGTGATCCATCTATTACTTTTTACAATCCATTGAATTACAATATGAGATATTTAATCAATTGAATTTTTAAAAGACTATTTTAACATAAAAAAGAATGTTTCGTTAATTTTAAGACTATATAAGAATATAATAACTTATAAAAAAAGTGAAAGAAATAAAATATTTTAAAAATTATTTATTTTTAAATATTACTTGTATCGATGAATTAGATATCCATCTATGAAAACATTATTAATGGATGAATTGAATGAATTTTTTTTTTATTTAAATGGATTGGATGGATTGATTTTTTTTTAATCTTTTAATGAGTTTAAATGAATTGATGAATTATTTTTATCTGATCCATTATGATTCACCTAAAAAATTATCTAGTCCATCCATTTATCATCCTAGCCTCTATATATAAGGATGTGCACACAAAAACATGTGATTTAATTAAAGTTTAATATATCATTTAGTCCTTTAATTTTTTTTGAAAATTTTGATTAGGTCTCTAAACTAAAAAAAAATTTGTAATTCTGACATTTAATAAATCATAAGCAAAATAATAAATGTGAATCTCTATATATAAATATTCATAAAATTATATATATATATATATATATATATACATGTGTGATTTAATTAAAATTTAATATATTATTTGGTGCTTATATTTTTATAAAATTTTTAAACTAAACAAATTATAATTTGATCCTAATCTTTTATATTTTTATACTTTAATCTTGATGTTTGAGATTCGTTTATTATCGATAAAATTTGAGGTCTTTAATATTTATATAGAGGAGGATTATAATAATATCGGTATAACTTTTACTAAATATTACACTGCTTAATAACTTTATATTAAATGTGAATTTTTTAAATCTAATTATTAGATTGAAAGTTTATATCACTTTATATATTTATATCAAATTTTGTTAAAATTGAACAACAACTTGAAAGTAATCAAAGTATTTATATTTTAGTATATTTTCAAATATATATTACGACAATTTTGTTTTATAAAAATAAAGTATCAAATCATTTTGAATTAATTTAAAATTTTATATATATGATCTAAGAGTAAAGAACTTTCAATTTAACGGCTAAATTTACAAAATTCATATTTAATATAAAATTATTAAATGAAATAATACTTAATAAAAGTTACATCAATATTATTATAATCCTCATTATTTATATATATATATATATATATATATATATATATTAAATTAGACTCCTCTTGTAAACAGTTACATCTCTAAACAACCGCAGGACCGACTCTGCCTCTATCGAAGACCATTATGAACATCGAAAATGACTTTTAAAAGATGGCATAAGAAATGATAAATTATTTTGTAATTTTTTTGTCAAAGAAAATATCAAATATTCCTTGAACAACACTCTACACATGTTAGAGGCTTACAGTAGCGCTGCTTGAAAAAAAAAAAACAGTAAAATAAATAACTTAAAATTAAAGGGGAAAATTATTTTGTTTATGGCTGTTGAAATAATTTTTTTCATGAATATTTATAGAAGAACAAATAAAAAAAATATAAACAAATTGAGCTTTTTTTCATAAACTAAAATTAGTTACGCACCTAATTTTTCATACTAATTTTAATTTTAAAAAATTCAATTAATATTATTTTTATTTACTTTTCCGTAAGTACACATTTTTTTTTCAAATGTAAGTCTAAGCTTTTCTGAACTATTGGTTTGTTTTTTAGTGTAATACATGTTTACAAATTGGCTGTTAGAGTTTGGACATAAATGAAGATGATAAACAGATAAAAGGAAGTTGATTTGGGTAAGATGACAAGAGTGTTTTTTTTGACTTCTTCAAATTTGATGTATGTTTTTATCAACTAGCATCTAACCTTTCCTTATGAGATTTGTTAGATTCTAACAAATTTTTTTCCTTAATTTTTTCATGAAAGTGGGGTGAGTCAGACAAGACGAGGTTGTTGTCATCCTCATCCTGAATTGGAATAGGAAATACTAAATACATAGAAGTTTTACTATCTTTCTTTAGTGCTATTTAATTGAAAAGAAAAACTCTTTTCTTTTATTTGTTTTATAAGAAGAATTAGAAAAATAAATAATCATTAATATTTTATTACCCTTTATACAATAAAATTAATTTATATAAAAATATATTGTTTTTTTTTGTTGTTTATTTTTACGTCCAAGACTCCAAAAGAAAGATACGATATTTAAAAAATATAGAAATTAAAAAAAATGCTGATGATAGAATTGGATAAAAAATAAAAACAGAAGATATTTATTAAAAATTTGTTTATTATATTAAAAAATAAAAATATTTAATATTCATTTTTAAAATTATTAAAGTATTCCACAAGATATTGTAAAAATATCTTATGAGAATAATAATTGGTACATAACAGTTTGGATACCATGTGCCACCCCTATCATCTCGTTGACAAAAAATTCTTATTCCCAAATTCACACTTTGTTCACTGTTTTCTTAAGAAACGCACCTATTAGAATTTTTAATCCCGAAATATTGGGATAAGTGTTAGACTCTTATCATCTTCTTTCATTCTAAGAAATTCTTTGTCTTAAAAAAGGAACTTTTTTCTGTCTTTGAATTTGTATATTTTGCTGGTGATCCCAGAAGAGAAGAAGGACAAGTGGGAATTCATAGTTTCTTTGAACATTAGAGAGAATCACAGGAAGAAGAATGAATTACGAAGCTGACACTAACATGACTGATTTGATGACTATCACACGCTTTGTTCTGAATGAACAGTCAAAGTATCCTGAATCACGTGGCGATTTCACCATCCTTCTCAGTCATGTCGTTCTTGGCTGCAAATTCGTTTGTTCTGCTGTTAACAAGGTATTCTTCCACTATGCCCATCAAAACATCATTTTCGTAAACACTGGACTATGGAAAACCATGCTATGTTTTTTTGCCAGTTGTCCTTTTGGATCATTATTTTTTTCATATTTTGATGACCCTTTTTTATTGGCAGGCAGGACTGGCAAAACTCTTAGGACTTGCTGGAGACACCAATGTTCAAGTGAGTTCTGTTTTTATTTGATATAGCTAAAATAATATTTATAAGTCTGAGGCAATTCTTACTTTCAAGTAAGGTCAAATCCCAAATTTTAAGATAATATCAGAGTTTATTCTTGTGATTATTATTAGGTTTATTAGGATATTCTTAAATGTTAAAACTTACAAATTTTACACTCATGATGTCATATTGACCAATGATATATGGCTAAAACAGTGTATACAAGTAGGAGTAACTCTCATCTATTGAGCTAGCATTTTTTGGATGATCCGATTATAAAATAATATGATCTGTTTTTTTTTAATTATACTGGTATTTTTGGTGTTTTTTAATCTTCGGAGTAAAGTACATTTTGTAGGGTGAGGAGCAAAAGAAATTGGATGTGCTTTCAAATGAAGTATTTGTGAAAGCCTTAATCAGCAGTGGACGCACAGTAAGTCTGTTTTTAGTAGTTGTTTTTTTTCTTTCTTTGTTCTCCTTTTCTTGATATGAATGAGTTTGATTTATAAGCATTATGCAACACCTTTTGGCATCTATCCTTCCCTGATTATCGTAAAATGCAATTTGTTGTCTTGTCAGTGCCTACTTGTTTCTGAAGAGGTTGAAGAGGCTATATTTGTGCCACCATCACATCGTGGCAAGTCAGTTCGAGGCTCTAGAACCAACCAACGCTCCATCCTTTAGTGGTTGTTAAAATACATTTTCTTATCAAAGTAACATTTTTTTTTATAATTATTTTGCAGATACATTGTTGTGTTTGATCCTTTGGATGGATCCTCAAACATTGACTGCGGGGTTTCTATTGGAACTGTATGAATTTTCAATTTCAATTGCCAAACATAATTGCTGAACTTGAAAACTTGAAAACAGAAAATTTTAATAGTTACTACCATTTTCCCTGTTGCATATAGATCTTTGGTATTTACATGGTGAAGGATGAGACTAAAGTTAGTCTTGAAGATGCATTGCAACCTGGGAACAAATTGTTAGCAGCTGGTTACTGCATGTATGGAAGCTCTTGCACGGTAAAAACACATTTCAGCATGTCTTATATAACTAATTCTTTTAAAATGGAAGTTGTCTATTTTTCAAGTCACGAATATCTGATGCTGATTGATTAAACAAACTCTGGAATTGCAGTTTGTGCTTAGCACAGGAAATGGTGTGAATGGTTTTACACTTGATCCTAGCCTGGGGGAGTTCATATTGACTCACCCAAACATCAAGGTATACATTAGTGGCACTCAAACTGGCATATCAAGTTGTTAGAATTTTTTTACAGGAAATTCTAAATATTCTACAATAGTTCAATGTAATAATCAGGCGTATAGTAGCATCTAAATGTGTGTACATGATGTGACCCTTGAGTCCTATACCCTTGCTCTGCAGACGGGTTTGGATTCTCTAATGTGTCATTTTTGTTCAATGAAGTCTCCGTCTTTAAGTAAAAGTAAGAGACGAAGATTTAAATACTAAAAAAAGAAGACACGAGATTTTGATAGTGAAAATTTTCATATGAGAGAATTCAATGAACATCTTACATGAGAGAATCCATTTCCCTATTAAAGCAAGCTTTCAGCTATGTTTAATTACAATGTGTTACTTGCATAGATACCAAGGAAAGGAAAGATTTATTCGGTGAATGAAGGAAATGCCAAAAACTGGGATGAACCGACCACCAAGTAATTTTGCGGATTCTCTTACCTAGTCTTTGGAATCTAATTGAACGTGAAATAATTGATTTAATTTATAAATGGCAAAGTTCTTGACACTTTCCACTCCAGATATGTACAAAAATGCAAGTTTCCTCAAGATGGTTTACCACCTAAATCTCTTAGGTACATCGGAAGGTATTTTTTGATTCTGAACTTGGTGTAGTTCTTGGCTTTCTTTCAAATGTCTTCATTTAAATTCTAACAGTGGCGAGTGATGCAGTATGGTTGCTGATATCCATCGAACTTTGCTTTATGGTGGTATCTTCATGTACCCTGCTGATATAAAGAGTCCAAACGGAAAGCTACGGTATGATGTACTTTGAATTAGCATCTACGACATAAATTTTTCATCTCATGACTTTTATTTTTGAGTTATATGATAATTGAAATTCTCTCTAACACTCTCATCGTTATTAACTGAAATCATAAATTTTATGAATTTTACAATTTATTTAACAAGTCTCTCTTAATTTAATGATAAAATTCATTAAAATTTGTAATTTTTAAATTTAACTAATAGTAGAATTAGTAGTAATAAAAGTATTAGAAAAAGTGTTGTTAAGATTTCTCGTGACTTATTTATGGAATTTCACTGTGAAAACAGACTTCTCTACGAAGTCTTTCCAATGTCATTTTTGATGGAGCAAGCAGGAGGTCAGGCTTTCACAGGAAAACAACGGGTATGATTTTCTTTTTTCTTTCATCTGATTCGTGCTTTATTATTGCATTAACTCTAGAAAAATGTAATGTATTAAGTTACCAACAGTTTCTCCCAAATGGCAAAAACTAAGTGACTTAAAAAGGTTTCCTTGCATGCATTTCTGCTTCTTCCTTTACTTTACAATAAGATTTTTAAGCAACTAGAATCAAATCTTACTTAGGAGCTATTGGAGCATTATGCATACATTCCTTGTTTCTGAATGGATTGCGAATTGCAGGCTCTTGACTTGGTTCCAAAACAAATACATGAACGATCATCAATATTCCTTGGCAGTTACGATGACATCGAGCAAATGAAAGAGCTTTATGCCGCAGATGGTGCATGAATATTCTCTTTCAATCTAATTATATGTGCCTTTTCATTTGTTAAGATGTATATGTTAAATTATTGGCCTCTTGGCAGTTAATTGAGCAGGACAACATTTGTTTCGGTAGAACATTGTGCTTATTCGAAGGAGTTACAGAGAAAAGAATAAATGGGTGAAGGACATTTTTTTTTCCTTTAATACTTCATTAAGCTGCAATTATAGGTTGAAGATATAACTCAATTTGCATTACTGGATCAAGCCCCCAAAATCACCTTAGCCTCTAGAGAGATATAACTCAATTTGTTTAATTCTATTTTAATCCATTCAACTAGCTGCTAAGGGTTTACAATAACTCTGATTGACTAATTGAATTAGACGCATCAATGTGTGATCCATTATATAGTGAAAAAAAAAAAGAAATTTTTTTTAATACCCTTAAAAGTACTATTATTCAAATAATATAGCTAATAACTAATTTACAAATCCTGAGTGGTAGAATTCACCCAAACCATATAACTAATCTCCCAACTCATTAAGGAGATTTATTTCATTTAGTTGAATAGACTTGTGATTGTCGTACAATTATTTTTTGGTATCATGTTTAATTTCCACGGATCAAACGAAGCAAATTTAATTAATAAATTGTGAATTTAAGTAGTACCGAATTCGATCTATTTAAATAAAATATTGGATACATGTCTTGTGTATAAAAAAATATAATTAAATAAAAATACTAATTGTACCCTCCAAATTCCTAATTGATCGAATTGACTGAGCAAAGACTTTTCGTGCTCTTGACGCTCGAGCTTAGAAAGTTATGTATCCTCCAACTCCCCATCCGACCGAGCAGGTCGAATTCAAGATCACTCACGGATTTTCTAAGACTGATTAAAGCAGTAATTTTCATGTTTCTTGCATATATTTAATTACGGTTATAAATGTTATTTATAGGCTCATTATGAGAAATAAAATGAAGGCTTATTTCAAAGGATTGAGATTGGAGAAAAAGTTTGTATCCTTAAATATGACACCCATATATATAAAGGAAGAAGGGTTTTACTAATGGTAGATTACACGCATCAAATGTTCTAGGTCAGGACAACGGCTAAGTTTTCTTAAAGTTCGTATCACTAGGATTTATCTGACCGTTATTCTTTGACCGGAACACTAATAAATAATTGTATCAATATCATGATTATAAAATAAGATAAACGTTTGGTTCCAACTTACGAGATTGATTAAAAAAAGAGTGAATAGCATTTGCTAAATATAAGGTAGGAATTAAAGTAATGGGCGTCCTTAAAATTTTGCATGCCAGAGGAATTGGAGGAGCCAAAAATACCGAAATGAAGGTTACAAAAGTGATGTAGGAATTAAGATGGAAAGTGATTCTCTTGGTTGCTCGGAGGGAGAACAATACAATCATTGTTTTGTTCTTCCATTCTAGTTGTAATAAAAAGTAAAATATGGGAAACTGTGGTAGCGCACCTAAGACCGATGAAGGTGAGATGCCAGCGCCCCAGAAGGTTGAGCAGCAAGAGAACAAGGTTGAGGTTCACCATCCCACAACAGAGGAAATCCCTGTCTCCACTCATACCCACTCTCTAGCCACCTTGCTCAATGAGGTACGCACATTTCACATTACTTGCATCTTTTTAATCATTCACATTCATTTTCAAATGCATCAAAATAGTTTATATTCATGTCACCAGATTCTCATATATAATGTTTCCACAGAATTAAGAGCAAGGAATAGGAACAGAAAGCCCAGTAGAGGAGGCAAACCCTGAAATCAAGGAAGAGAAACTCGTTCAAATGTTGTTAGTCAAGGATTCTGGAGTTTCATTTTTCCATTTTGTGCTTAGAGATCATTCATTAAATTTTATTATTCAAATTCATTATTCTTAATTCCTTATTTTTATTTAATTTTAAAACTTATCATAATAAACAATGTTAGTATATAAAATCTGCGTTACTATATAACTAGGTAATCTATGTTAATAAAAAAAAAGTGATACCACTAATTATAATTGTTTCTTATGCTCATTTTTATGTGAACATATCTATCTCTATCTATAGTATATATAAAGAGTATAACTTATTTCTTTTCTTTATATGCAAATTTTATTATGAAAATTTATTATTCTTGATTCGTTATTTTTATTTAATAAAAGAATTTTACATTTTGACATTTGGCACAGGCAATCTCTTTGTTTTGGTGCCTACTTTACTTTTTCTTATGCATAGAGTGTAGCACGAACGGCATTGACAATTTGACATCATTCACGTAAAATAAAAATTAATAAAAAAATAGAACATAGAGTGGTTGATTATACACCATCAAAGTTTAAAGAAATACATCTGATGGCTGCAAAATGTTTCCCATGGTGGAAGATATGCTTAACTTTTCCACCTTAGAATCCCTTGTCATGCGAGTTTGAACTTGTTTGTTTCTCTATAGTCAAATTTAAGTTAAATTCATCTGCACAATAATTTAGTTTAATCTAACTTTTGCTAATCACCTTACCATCTTTTTAAAGAAATAGCTACAAATTACGTTGAACCATGATCCATCATCCCGATCGTTCAGCAAACTGTTAAGAGAATAGAGAATACAGATAGAGAAGAATCAGGGAGAATTTTTCATACCACATGTATAATGACTATTTAGCAAAGCCGTATTCATCTTCCTCAGTCTAATACTTCTTCTCGTTTCTCTTTCATCCGATTCAATTGACATGTGACTCTTTGCATAACAAATTTTTTCATCTCTTTCACGTCATTTTGGCTCCATGTTACAGCATGTTAGTACATAGCAGAAGGGGAGGAGGGTGGAAATTAACCCAAGAAGACCAAGGGTGTGGTATTTGGAAAGGAGCATAGAGGGTGATACGTGAGAAACTCTGGAATTTGCCTCACCCATAAATACCCCCTCTCACTTCCACTAGTCTGCAATTTGTGCAACTCAGTGGGTTACAAATAACAGAACAGAATTGGGTTTTGGATTGGGTTGTCCTCTTCTTCTTCCTTCCATTCGTCTTTCTGTATGCCCTCAGCCCCCTCTTCAGTTTCTCCCACTGCAGAAGACAACACTTCCAAACTTGCCATCCTCTTTTGATTCTTAGACGAATTAATTGAAATCTAACTCCACTAACCAGAACGTTTCTGCAACTATTTGTGTTGATATTTCTAGAGTGTCTTCATTGATGTTAACCAAATCTGTGTACATGACATCCAAAATGGTATTTGCTTCTCAAATTCTTCTATAGATTAAGTTGTAAAGGACAAACTATAAATTCTCAAAATACTCAAAGGCACTAATAAAGTAATAAAGTAATATACTCAAAATGTTTACTATAAATTCTCAAAATACTCAAAGGCACTAATAAAGTAATAAAGTAATATACTCAAAATGTTTTATATTAACCCTATAAATTCTCAAAATACTCAAAGGCACTAATAAAGTAATAAAGTAATATACTCAAAATATTTTATATTAACCTAATCTATAGAAGAATTTGAGAAGCAAATACCATTTTGGATGTCATGTACACAGATTTGGTTAACATCAATGAAGACACTCTAGAAATATCAACACAAATAGTTGCAGAAACGTTCTGGTTAGTGGAGTTAGATTTCAATTAATTCGTCTAAGAATCAAAAGAGGATGGCAAGTTTGGAAGTGTTGTCTTCTGCAGTGGGAGAAACTGAAGAGGGGGCTGAGGGCATACAGAAAGACGAATGGAAGGAAGAAGAAGAGGACAACCCAATCCAAAACCCAATTCTGTTCTGTTATTTGTAACCCACTGAGTTGCACAAATTGCAGACTAGTGGAAGTGAGAGGGGGTATTTATGGGTGAGGCAAATTCCAGAGTTTCTCACGTATCACCCTCTATGCTCCTTTCCAAATACCACACGCTTGGTCTTCTTGGGTTAATTTCCACCCTCCTCCCCTTCTGCTATGTACTAACATGCTGTAACATGGAGCCAAAATGACGTGAAAGAGATGAAAAAATTTGTTATGCAAAGAGTCACATGTCAATTGAATCGGATGAAAGAGAAACGAGAAGAAGTATTAGACTGAGGAAGATGAATACGGCTTTGCTAAATAGTCATTATACATGTGGTATGAAAAATTCTCCCTGATTCTTCTCTGTCTGTATTCTCTATTCTCTTAACAGTTTGCTGAACGATCGGGATGATGGATCATGGTTCAACGTAATTTGTAGCTATTTCTGATAATGAATTCTAATTTCTCTAGCTTCCACTGTTCCTATTGCTGCTACGTGTAATATGTTCTGTTTTTTTTTCTCAATATATCAAGTTACTGTTTCACATGCCTATCGGTGTACTAGTGTAGAACTTGTCTTCTTGCGTGTTACAACTTATTACTAATAAAAAATTATATTTACTTTATAAATATTAAAAAAATTTATTGATGAATGTAATAGAAAAATATGAATTTTTCAAACAAATTCAAAAATACCACATGATATTATAAACAGTAAAAAGTGTCATGTAAGATAGTCAATTAACTTTGTAATAAATATATAAAGACATTAACGATAGTAACACTAAATTAGTAAATTTCAAATATTAAATAAATAAAAATTACAAAGATCAAAGTTAAATTTTATTTATTTTATAAAAACTAAAAACATATTTAAATCTTACACAAATTATTATGGTAAAATATCTTTATTTGACAAAGTTATTATTATTATTTAAAAGTTAAAATATGATTATAAATTTGTTTAATTAATATTTACATGAAATATCAATAAATAAATAAAAGTGATATGTAAAAGAATTAAGATTTTCGTATTTTTTAAAGATGAAAAATATTTTGAAACAAAACAAAACACTCGAGGAAATTAACCTATAATTAATATAAAACAAAATAAACATTACTTTATTAGTGCCTTTGAGTATTTTGAGAATTTATAGTTTGTCCTTTACAACTTAATTTGAGAAGCAAATACCATTTTGGATGTCATGTACACAGATTTGGTTAACATCAATGAAGACACTCTAGAAATATCAACACAAATAGTTGCAGAAACGTTCTGGTTAGTGGAGTTAGATTTCAATTAATTCGTCGAAGAATCAAAAGAGGATGGCAAGTTTGGAAGTGTTGTCTTCTGCAGCTTCTGACGTGCTTCCAATTAATTGGAATCATGTGGATGATGATATAAGCA